TATGTATACCATGGAGTACTATTCAGCTTTAAGAAACAATGGTGATATAACTCCTCTTGTATACTCCTGGAGAGAGCTGGAATACTAAGTGAAGTATCCCAAGAATGGAAAGACAAGCACCACATGTATTCACCATCAAATTGGTATTAACTGATCAACACATAAGTGCGCATATAAGAATAACAACTATTCAATGTCGGGAGGCGGGAGGGGGAGTGGGGAGGAAGGGACGGGTATATGCATACACAAAGAGTGCAATGTGCACCATCCAAGGGATGGACACACTGGAAACTCGGATTTGCCAGGGGAGGAGGGGCAAGGACAACATACGTAACCTAAACATCTGTATCCCCATAATATGCTGAAATAAAAAAAAAAAGAAAGAAAGAAATACAGAGAGCAAAAAGAAAAATCATATTTTTCAAAAGGCTACAAACTTCATACATTTTCAGCTTACATGTTGCACTTACTTAGAGGAATGGATTTGTTACTGCCCAACTAGGTTCCTTGTTCGCTGCTCAAGAGGAAGCCAATGCACTGAGACAGGAGGGGTTACAGTGGAGAAAGAGTTTAATACCGCAGAATGCCATGCAAAGAGACAGGAAAAATTTCTCAAATCCAAGTCCCAAACAATTTACGGGCCAAGGTTTTTAAAAATAGTTTGACAGGCAAAGAGCTGGGGAAATGGGTCACTGATTGGCTAGGGATACACTCAGAGGGTTGGGAAGCAGAAATTGTCTTCTTGCACTGCATAAGTTCCCAGGTCGCAAGACCAGTTGAGTGAGTTCCTTGGTATGGACCACTGGTCTTACTGGATCAGTTGGTCTACCACAAACCAGGGTCTGGAAGATAATCACAAAGACCAGCCTTAGGTTTCAGAAGGTTGATGTGATCTACGGGAGCAATGAAGAAAGTTAAGAAACTTTATGACCATTAAGCAATTATAGGAGAGCAAGCTAAGGAACAATGGCTGGTTACATATATTTTCTAACTATGCCCATAACTTTGCAGAGTTCAGGCTCCTACCACAGTTCCCCCCATATGCCCCTTTATTAATTTTATAAAGGGTGGTTTCAGATTTGTGAATAGAATGTAGAAAATGAGTACCATAGGCCCAGAGTGTCCGAAGCTTTTAAAATCTATAGATTTTGAATATAGAATATATATAGAAAAAGTAGCCCTAAGTGGAAAGTTAATAGACTTAAATGGCCATATCAGAAAGACAGAAAGATCACAAATTAACAACCTAATGTCACATCTCAAAGAACTAGAAAAAGATGAACAAACCAAACCCAAAGCCAACAGAAAAAAAGAAATAACAAAGCTCAGACCAGAACAAAACAAAATGGAAACCAAAAACAATACAAAGGATCAATGAAAGAAAAAGTTGATACTTTGAAAAGATAAATAAAATCAATAGACCACTAACCAGGTTAACCAGAAATGGAAGAGAAAGGACTCAATGAGATGTGAAAATGGAGACATTACAACTGATACCACTGAAATACAAAATATCATCCACAAATACTATGAAAACCTCTACACAAAAAACTAGAAAACCTAGTGGAAATGGATAAATTCTTGGAAACATACAACCTCGCAAGTGTTAATCAGGAAGAAATAGAAACCAACTTCTAATGAAACAGACCAATAATGAGCAGTGAGATTGAAGCCATAATAAAAAAAAAAAATCTCCTGACAATAAAAAGCCCCTGACCAGACAGATTCACAGCCAAATTCTACCAGACATACAAAGAACTGGTACCTATTCTACAGAAACTATTTCACAACATCGAGTAGGGAATCCTCTCTAATATGAAGACAGTATCACCCTGATACCAAAGCCAGGAAAGAACACACTAAAAAAGAAAACTACAGACCAATATCCCTTATGAACATAGATGCAAAAATCCTCAAAAATAAAATACTAGCAAACTAAATTCAACAGAGCATCAAAAAGATAAATAACCATGATCAAGGAGTTCTCATCCCAGGGATGCAAGGATGGTTTAACCTACACAAATCAATAAATGTGATTCACTACATAAACAGAAACAAAAACAAAGACCATATGATCATGTTAATAGATATAGAAAAGGCATTTGATAAAGTCTGACACACTTTCATGATGAAAAAAAAAAAACCTCAACAAACTAGGCATAGAAGGAACATAGCTCAAAATTATAAGCACCATATATCACAAACCCACAGCCAACATCATACTGAATGGGGAAAAGGTCTGGAACCAGAAAAGAGCCTGAATAGCCAAAGCAATCTTCAGTAAAAAGAACAAATCCAGAGGCATGACATTACCAGACTTCAAATTATACTACAAGGCTATAGTAACCAACAGAGCATGGTACTGGTATAAAAGTGACACATAGACTAATGGAACAGAACAGAGAACCCAGAAATAAAATCATCTACAACCGACTGATCTTTGACAAAGCAGACAACAACATACACAGAGGAAATGAAGCCCTATTTAATAAATGGTGCTGGGAAAACTGCATAGCCACATCCAGAAGAATGAAACAGGACCTTTATCTCTCACCAGGTACAAAAGTTAATTCAAGATGGATTAAAGACTTAAATGTAAGGCGTGAAACCATAGAAATGCAAGAAGAAAACAGAAAAAACTCTTTTAGACATTGGCCTAGGCAAAGAATTTATGACTAAGACCTCAAGTATCAGCTTTGCAAAGGCAGGAGCCATGTCTCTCACATCCTTGGATCTGCTTGCTAAATAATTGTTCATGATTTTATCAGAATGCAAAAAGAGCTCAGAGCTGAGACAAGGAGACATTCTTCATTCAGCTCAGTCACTTAGGAGCTTTGGGGGTTCTCACCCTTCTACTAGCTGCAGCCACACCTTCAACAGCCTCCACCTTCTTGTCCATTATTCTTGCTTTCACCTTGTGACTCAGAAGCAGAGTTGCAAATGTGGTAACAGTGCCATTTTCACTTAAACCAAAGCAGAGAACTTTGGCAAGCCAACTTGTATGATGACGCTCATCAAAACCAGGAGAGCACACACAGGTCTAGGAGGTCTGTGAGGTCACTAAGCCTGCCCCTCTTTCATCCCCCTCCCATGGTTTTGTATCTGGGTGGAGGAAACACCAGCATTGCTGATTTGGGCAGCCTTCCTGAGGAGATGGAGCCACTCCTAATCCTGTTGGCCTTTCTTCTGCCTCCCAGGGCTGGGACAGGTAAGTGACCATCCTTATCCAGAGGCCTGAACCTATCTTACGAAATCTCCTATATCTATAACCCTTCTACCCAGCACTGGTGAGGAATTTTCCTGAATCTGCCCCAGCTCCCATCCCTCACCCAGACTTATAAGTCTGATGCTAGATAGACATTCAACAAGGATGGAAGAAGGAAGGGTGTTCCCTAAAAGGTTTAGTAGGTGTTAGCCTCTCTCCAGACCTCTCCTTCATGACCTGGAAAGTGGGTTGTTCTTAGAAAGGCATTTGGTAGAAAATGTGTAGGTGCAAAAGATAAGTAATAATAACCCCTCCTTCAACCCAGGAAAAGGCATCTCTAGGTATTTCCAATTCCTTTGAGCTTTATTTGGCCAGTGTGGTCCCTGTTTTCTCAACTGTGCCACTTGCTCTGATTTCTGACCCTCCAACCCCAAAGCTTACCTATCCTATCTCTCAGCACTTCATCATCCCAGTTCTGCTCCCCGGTGGCTGTTCTGACAAGCAGACACCCAGGTTTCAGCAGTGGAGATTGTCATAGGACCCAGCTTAAGAACCAGTTAAATTATTCAGTGCCCTCCCCACTCTAACTGCTGTCCAGGACAGAAACCCAGGGTGCAACAGATCTCAGAGGTGGCAGATGGCTGCAACCACAGCTCTTCTATGGTCTTGGATCCACCCAGGCCTGTGAACTCCATGTTTTGCTAGCTTCCCCACTTCCCCTTCCTTCCCAGGTCCTTGGCTACTCCACCGTCTTTGGCAGTGCTTCCCCCACCATCCCAGAGGCCCTGAAGCCCACCAACACTACCCCCACCAAACCCTAGCCAAAGCCTAATTGGAAGCCATTCATTCGTGCAGCCAAAAAACAATTGCTGAGAACCTAGGATGTGAACCTAGGCCCTAGGACCTAAGGATTTTAGAAAATCCAACTCCATAAGCTCATGGGTAAATCATTAGAAAATGGCACTGACGGGCATGATAGCAAAGGCTCAGAGGGATCGGGGAGACTCACTAAGAAGGCAAGACCCAGGGCAGTTCTGTCGATTCCTCTGGGGCTCTGTAATCCTGAAGGTAGATTTTACATCCTCCTTGTGTGTCTGCAGTAGGATGCGATGACAAGCTCTGCCCCTCGTTTCTCAGAGGGGGTTCTGAGTTTTGAGGTTTAGAAGAGGTAGCTCCACCTACAAGAACTGCTGCCTGCCAAGTCCAGGAGGATGCTCACTCACTGCACGCCTCACCCTCAAGCACCGTCTTCCTGAGCCTTCTCTCCTGACCACACCTGCCCCAGCTACCTCAACTTCCAGTCTTTTCTTTCAGACGAGATCATCGGGGGCCATGAGGCCAAGCCCCACTCCCGCCCATACATGGCCTTTCTTCAGATCTGGGATAAGGGGACTCGGAAGAGGTGTGGCGGCTCCCTGATACGAGAAGACTTCGTGCTGACAGCCGCGCACTGTTGGGGAAGGTGAGGAGGAAATTTCCAACCCTCTAAGAAATACTCCACAGAGACCGCTGTCTGAACACCTGTGCAGGAGGGCTTCTGGGAGAAAGAGGGCGGGTAAGTCCCATGGGGGGAGAGGAAGGTTAGTGTCAGAGGCATTGCTGAGGTAAGAAAAAATCAGAGTGATCACGCCTGTCATATTCAGAGCCGGGGACATGCTTTGGCATAAGAATGGAAACTAAAGCAACCTCACGTGTTTTCCCAGGGGGAGCTGACCCCTGAGAACCACTGGTGCAATTAGCAGACAGCCACATCCTGGGGCCCTCCCATCCCCTCAGTTTCCCCTCAGCTGCAGCCCTGCCCTGCCCTTGCTATCACCTGCTCTTCATGGCTTTTGGGCTGTACCCCTGTGACTCCACACACCTGCAGCCCCTCTCTGCCGTCTGTGCAGCTCCATAAACGTCACCCTGGGGGCCCACAACATCAAGGAGCAGGAGAAGACCCAGCAGGTCATCCGTGTGAGAAGAGCCACCCGCCACCCAGCATATACTTCTAACAGATTCTTCAATGATATCATGCTGCTGCAGGTGAGGCAAAGTCCTGCTGCTCTCGCTCTGCTGGTCCAGTTGCCCCTCCCACTGTGATGCTGTCCCTTCTTCCCTCATTTCCATCCTGCTTGGCCTCAGAGGAGAGGGGAGACAGCTCAGCCCCAGCATGGCAACCAGGCCCGGGAGGCCACTGGCTGACCTGGACTTTCTTGCCTCTTCCCCACCAGCTGGAGACAAAGGCCAGGCGGACTACAGCCGTGCGGCCCCTCAAGCTGCCCAAGCACGTGGGCTGGGTGAAGCCAGGGGAGGAGTGCATTGCGGCCGGCTGGGGCCGGACTGCCCTGGAGAGCAAAAACTCAGACACACTGCAGGAGGTGATGCTGACCGTGCAGCAGGACAAGACGTGCGAAACGCTCTTTCCCCAGAATTACCGCAAAGCCACAGAGATTTGTGTGGGGGACCCAAAGACGACAAAGATCCCTTTCAAGGTTAGGTTTCCAGCATCTACACAAACAGGTCCCTGGGAGAGAGGAACTTGAGGGAGATCTGGGGTATGGGAGTGGCCAGCCCCTGCGCCCTCACGGTTAGGGTCAAGTGCTAGTGCAGAGCTGGTGCACACAGGTTTCAGAAAAATTTCTCCAGACAAAGATTAGGATAGAATAAGTTGATTTTACTTTCCCAAGTGGGAAAGGGCCAAACATGAGAGAGAAAGGGGAAGAGTGTGTCGGCCTAGAAAGCCGATTACTGAGAACTTTTATTTAGGAAATGTAAAAAAGGGGATGAAAGATGATTTATGGTTGTTGTCAAATTCACAGGGTGCTGTGAACTGTCATATCTGCTCTTTCTCTTCTTGGCAGGCAGATAATAGAATCAGCTGTGTGAAACTGCTGTATCTGTTCCTTTTCTTTAGCAACAGACTGATAGCAGAAATGGCTGTTAGAGATCTTGTCATGATCTTGCCCTCAAGATATGATTTGGGGCAGGATCTGATGCCGGAAGTTTGTCCCTGCTGCTGCTGTCTTCCAGGAGCTTCTGAAGAACTACTCTAGGCTGTAGAAACTGAGTCTAAAGGGCAGTTTTAGTCAATAGGTCTAGCAACCTAAAAGGAAAAATTTACATTTCCTTTTGTCTGCTGGGTTCCTTTTAGATGTAAAAACAGAGCTGCCAACAGGGAGACAAAGAGCAGAGATCAGGCAGAAAGCTCATGATTGATCTTTAGATGTCATTAGGAAATTGTGGGATTAGGTATTTTCCTGTTATTTGAGCAAGGCCACCCCTTTCATTCCCCCCTTTCTATGGTTAAACTTAAAATTTCTATTTAAAGAAATGAACTCAGAAGCAGGGAAAATGGGTGGAGGTCTTTCTTCTGGAACTGCTTCCAGCTGGTAATGACCAATGAGATCTTTTTATGGAGAGAGTTCATTTGAATCATTAAGGGGAAGGTGGTTGAAAACGGATGGTCTTGAAAGCTATGTTAGAGGCATAGTTTTGTATGAATGTTACCAGATAGCGGAGAATGCAGGGTTTGAAAAGGAGAGCTAAAAGCAGAGCTGCTAGGGGCAATAGCCAAGAATCCTAAGGGCACACATGGCCAGAAGAGTTCACAGTTCTGAGAAGGCAGAGGGCCTCTTGGACTGTAGGCACATAGAGATGTCACAGAGCGTGCATAGTGGGAGACGTGGAGAGTAAGGTTATTATCATTAGGGCTCCCAGCGTGGGCAAAGAGCTGACCGGCCTGGTTTGTAAGCCGTGCTGTGGTGGCATTCACAGAGTGATATGAGAAATATAAAGAGGAGGCAAAGGGCGATACGGAGCCATTTATACCACACCGTATTACTGGAGCCTGGAATCCATGATGGGCTGGACTTTTAGGGAGTTCACCATGGCTGGAAGCAGATTCTGGAGGATCCAGGGCCAAATTCTCAGAAGCTTAGCTGTAGTGGGAGTAGTGAGAATTACTTAAAAAGGACCGTTTTCTAAGGTTGGCCATCTCCTTCACTCAACCGAGAGCTTGGGCAGCCTGGGTGCCCCAGGAATCCAGTCTTTAGTCCATGTCCTGGGCAGATGCAGGTGGGCATGTGGAAGCTTCATCCCATAGCAGCGTTACCACCAGAGTATATCCCTGAGGACTGCAGAGAAAGCCTTGGCCTGGGTTGAGCTGGAAAGAACAGTCAGGAACATACTGGAGCCCCAGGACTCAGGGAGGTGACAAGAAGGCTGCCCTGGCCCTGATGCCACATACACAGCCCCCTAACAGAGACCACCCATGCCTGGGGAAGCCAGCTCAGTTTTTCCTGTCTCTGCCCACAGGGGGATTCCGGTGGCCCCCTCGTGTGTAAGAACATGATCCAGGGTATCGTGTCCCGTGGACGAATAAATGGGACCCCTCCAGGAATATTCATGAAGGTCTCACATTTCCTGCCCTGGATACGGAAAACAATGAAGCGTAGCTGCTGACAGCAGGGGTAAGACTGACCTTCCTCTGAGCTTGACCATCTTTTCTGGGCAGAGGCAAGAATCCCACAGAGGTGGACAGTGGGGAATGCAGGATTGCAATAAATGGATCTCGAGCATCAATATGACTGAAGTCTTGTCTATGCATTGAACTGCTTTCAATATGTGACAACGCTGCTCCAGGCAGCCCCTGTCAATTCTCGTTTTGCTTCCTCCTTTCCCCCACCGGTTCCTCCTTTCCCTCCCTAAAACCCATGCTGTACAATTTCTCATCAAATTCTCACTCATGTGTCTTTCATACCTAATTTTCTGCCACAGACAATCTTCTCCCCCTGATAAGCAAAACCCCCATCTATTACTTGGCACATCAGGCACCTGAGACCCCCACCCCTCATGGAAGACCCGCATCAGCATAATACTAACCTATTACCTGGCGCATCACCATAACAATAAACCTATTACCTGACTCATCAACTAAGCTATTACCTGGCCCGTCACCATAACAATAAACCTATTTCCTGGTGCATCAACTAACCTATTACCTGGTGCATCACCATAACACTAAACCTATTACCTGACTCATCAACTAATCTATTACCTGGCGGGCATTAGCCACCTGATACCCCACCACTTGGACCAACCCAACTTAATAGAAGTGGGAAAGATCGGCTAGATGGGGCTCAGAATTTTGTGGCGAGACCCCTCTGAGCCCGCCAGCGAATAAACTTTGATTCTCCGACTCTCCGTGTGCCACTCGGTTTCTCCTCGGAACCACCCGCTGTAACACTTGCTGTAACACCCCCACAAAATGAACCTCTCTGGGCCTTACGAGTTTCTCACCGTCTCTAAGCCAACCACTATCACCAATGCCCCCACCCCGCAACCCACGAGCACTCCAGTGCGGGCAGGCTTCTCCCACAGCCAGGCCTCTGCAGCTCGGGAGGCCAGATGCTCCTCTGACGCCGCTCAGCCTCAACCAGGCCCTGTTTTCCAGCCCTGCCCTGGGCCCAGCACTGAGCTCAGTCGGCCTCCTTCCTCCCTAGCCGGCCTTCCCACACCGGCCCTGCTTTTCACCCAGGTGTCCCTAGCCACCAGCTCCTCCCTTCTAGCCCTTTTTGAGCCAGCCTCTCTCTTTATCGACTCCCTATCAGAGTTTTCAAGGCTGTGTGGATTCTCCTCTATTGTTTGTCCCAGCCAGACCTGGGCTGCCCGCCCACCTGACGCTGATCAGAGGAGCCAACTCCTACTTCCCACCTGGGCAGGGCCGGCTGAGGCCCTCACTTTAGCCCAGCAGCCCCCAGGGGCGCAGTCATCGCCCCCCCCGCCCCACCCCCCAGTCGCTCAGGAGCCTGGCCTGGCCTCAGGACCCTGGCTCCCCCTGCTGGCAACCTGGGGTTATGGCAGCCTTGCACCAGAGGGCTCTGGGGCTGCTGGGGCTGAAAGTACCCCTTTGCCATCCACCAGGAGACAAATACTTGCTGATCTCTCTTTCTTTGTGCCAGGCACATGATAGGCTCTTGTCCCTACTTTTAGAAAACATACAGTGATGAGAAATTTCCTCGAAATTCTCCCAGTTCCTCTTCTTCCACCAGGCAGGAAAGTTTGCCACAAATGGATCTGTATTTGGAATCCACAAGAAATTCTGCTTTGAAAGTAATTAAATTCTCTGTATTCTATCTGCAAATTACAGTGTCACATGCCTGATCTGGTTTCATTCCAGAAGGGCAGTCCGTGAAATTGGAAGAAACTTAGAGACCCTCAGGTCCTGAGCTTTCTCATCTATGCTCAGTGGAGTCTGTATCCAGAGGTGGGAGGGGAAGAAGGAAGCAACAGGAACAGCCGTAACTTTGTTAATTTTACACGTGGAAGACATGAACCTCAGCCCATAAACCTAAGAAATGCTACGGTTCAAGTGCAAGATACTCACTTGTGACCCAGATGACCTCATTTAGGATCCTTATCTGCCAAACGGTACCACCAGTGAGTCAGATGTGACAGGACATAATAAATTCACAATAGCTGGACAAAACTGCATCAAGTGGGACCAAAACTGGACAAAGGAGCAACTTCCCCTAAAAAGAATAACAAATCACATGGATTCAGAAAAAAACAAAATCCAACACATTTTAAAATAAGAGGAAAAGCAAATACACTTATTTTTCACGTTGTCCACTTGACAAGTCTTCCCCTGGGGATCACAACACTGGCAGTAGTATAGATGAGAGACGAGTTAACTGCATACAGACGTGAGCAAGTGAACAGTAGAGCGTGCAGGAGCTGGGGGCAACCACACAGAAGAAATGTAGACACCCCAGAAAGTCAGCCATTAAGAGCTCCATAGAGTCCCAGGATGGAAGCCAGAGACAGCAACAGAGTGACCAAAGATGTCCTCCACCAGGGGCAAGGACCATGCCTGATGGGTCAGTCTTGCCTCTTACACCTGATAGAAATACTTGACACTGAGTATAAGATGCATTAGGAAGAAAAGACATTGCCTTAGAATGACTGTAGCATCATGAAGACTGGGCTGCTCTTGATACATCTTTCTTTAAAGTGATCTCCACATAAATTTACATTTATTTCTCTTTCTTGATCTAGTGATTTTTATTTCTAGGACTTTATCCTATGTAAGATCTAAAGTGTGTATGTGTATGTGTGTGTGTGACAGTGTATGTGTATGTAGGAGAGTTATTCATAAAAATGTTCATCACAGCATTATTTATAATAGACCCCAAATTGGAATCAGTATTAATGTCCAAAATAGGGAAATTATAAAGTATAGTGCATTTGCCCTATGCACTATACAGCAGTTAGCATCTACCTTATCCACAGCTGTACAAAACTAGGCGAAGTACATTAAGAGGCAAGTTATTTAAAAAAAAAAAAAAAAAAACACAAATAAGCATTTAGGAGCAAGTTAAAGCTCACTAATTACTCAATGAAAAATTAAAATATTAATAATTTCTTGCTTATCATATTGGGAAGGATTTACAAAAATGATAGCACTCAGATTCAGTATGGACATTGAGAAAATGACATTTTCACAACTTACATACAAAGATCCTTTAAAAAAAAAAAAGTCTTTGACCCAGCTATCAATCACACCAAGAAAACTGAACAAGGTTATTCCTTGTAAAAACCTTGTTACACAAGTAAAATCTTAGAAACAATGCCAATGTCCAGCACTAATTTGGCTATTCGTTTTTAAAAGTGGCATATTACTAATCATTACAGAATCCTTAAAGTTATGATATACTATTACATTTTGTTACATGGAAGAATATTCACCAGGTATGCTTAAGTAGAAGCAGGTTATAGATTAGCATATATTATAATTAAATTTTTGCTTATACATATATTTTTCTTTTAGCTTTTGTTCTTCCTACATATCCATTTTCCTAATTTTTCACAACTTTTATGTATTATTTAATAAATTAAGTCTATTTATTACATATGAATTTGATTCTAAAATGATATTCACTAATAGATTTTTAATAAAATGAGGGAAATATTTATGCTAAATAATTAAAATATAGGATTCAAAAGTAAATATATTGTGATCACACCTATGTAAAAATATACAAAGAAAAAAATCTAGATGAAAATACAACGCTGTTAACAATGATCAACTGGATGGTGAGATTAAGACTGACATATTTCTTGCCTGGGCACAGTGGCTCACACTTGTAATCCTAGCACTCTGGGAGGCCGAGGGGGAAGGATCACTTGAGGTCAGGAGTTTGAGACTAGCCTGAGCAAGAGCAAGACCCCGTTTCTACTAAAAATAGAAAAAATTAGCCGGGCAACTAAAAAAATTAGAAAAAATTAGCTGGGCATGGTGGCGCATGCCTGTAGTCCTACCTACTCGGGTGGCTGAGGCAGGAGGATCACTTGAGCCCAGGAGTTTGAGGTTGCTGTGAACTACGCTGATGCCACAGCACTCTAGCCTGGGCAACACAGTGAGAATCTGTCTCAAAAAAAATAAAAAGATTTCATATTTCTTCCATTTTTTAATTTATTCACTATTTTAAAGTTTACAATTATTAAAATAATTTTATTTTTAAAAAATATTCCAATGAAAAAGATATCTGTGAAATGCCTGAAAAAGAATTCAAAATAATGATATTAAAGAAGCTCGGTGACACACAAGAGAACATGCATAAACAATACAAAGAAATCAGCAAAACAATTCATGATCTAAATGAGAAAATTCAGCAAAGAGATAAATACTATAAACTAGAACCAACAGAAATCCTGGCACTAAAGAACTCAATGAATGAAATAAAAAATACAATTGAGATCTTTAACAATAGACTAGATCCAACATAAGAAAGAATTTCTGAACTCAACTGCAGGTCTTTTGAAATAACTCAGTGAGACAAAAAAAAGAATGAAGAAAGTCTACATCTGAGATACCAGAAAGCCACCAAATATTTAAATGTTGGGTATTCCTGAAGAAGAAGAGATGAGCAAAGGCATAGAAAACCTATAAAATGAAATAATAGCTGGAAACTTCCCAAGTCCTGCAAGAGATATACACATCCACATGCAGGAAGCTGAAAGATCCTCAAATAGCTCAAACCAAAAAAGTCTTATTCAAGGGACGTTATAGTCAAAGTGTCAAAAGTCAAAGATACAGCGAATTCTAAAACCAGTAAGAAAAAATTGTCTAGTCACTTATAAGGGAATCCTCATCAGACTAACAGTGAATTTCTCAACAGAAACCTTACATGCCAGGAGAGAATGGGATGATGTACTTAAAGTACTGAAGAAAAAATTAAAAATCTAGAAGTCAAGAATACTATACTCAGCAAAGCTAGTCTTTCAAAGTCAAAGAAATATAAAGTTTTGTTACCAAAAACTTGGCACTTGTCCTCAAGGCTGCCTCAGAAGAATGAGAATAAGTATTTGGGGGAGGAGGAAAGAGAATTTTTATTACTTTGCCGGCAAAGGAGGAAAATGGCAGACCTTCTTGTTTCAAAATCCAAATTTCCTGAACACAGGCAGAAATACAGAGTTTTTAAAGGGAGGGCCCCTCAGTTCTAGGCTATTGTAGTTAATTACACTAATCATCCCATCTCTGTCCAAGACAAAGCCTGAGAACTCCACT